TCTGCTTTGCTCTAGCTGTCCCCACTGTACACAGGGTTTGTCAAAGACTATACGGGACAGACTGGCAGACCTTCATAACGGTTGCTCCTTATCTTCCAAGCCAACCAGAAAGAGCTGGCTCCCTCAAATTCTAACCTTGCCCTTCTCTTCAGTGGTGGCTCTTTCCTCTGGCCCCAGTTTGCTCCCACCATGTGCACACTTGTGTACCCAAGCAGATATCCTGTGCATACGTGCACCGCTTGATGCACGCAGGCATCTGTGTGTACTGCCTTCCTGGGTGCACACACACAGGCCCCCAGGTTCTGGGGTTTTGGAGTATCTGATAAACTAGTCATTTTTTTTTCTCCACGCTGTGCTCAGAATCATTTGAGATGTAGATACAGGTGTCAGATGGAGATAAAAATGTCTATTTTGCTACCGATTAGAGGATGTGCCTTCTGTGGGTAGAGAAGGTGGATAGGGGGCTTGCAACCCTTGACCTTAAAAGTAAACTTATCCAGGAAAAGTGCGAATCTGCCAGCCAGCTTAGTAGGGACGCTTGCTTGCTTCCTGTGGAAAGGTTGGCAGGAGGGAAAGGGCTTCAGGAGCAGGGCTGGGCCCGCCTCCTGAGCACTAGCATCCGTATAGCTGCAGAGCAGGAAGGGAGCACCAGCAGTGTTGAAGGGATCACTCCTGCGATACCCCTCCTCGCTGGGGGCCCCACACAGGCCCATTCGTACGCCAGGCCACTGACACATGGAGAAGCACATAGCAGAAGCCAAGCAACCCGAAAAGTGGGGAGAATCAGGACCGAAGGGCCAGCGAGAAAGGGAGTGAGAACTTGAGACGGGGTCACTCTAGAGCCTTTATCCACATCAGGGGGTGAGTCTGGGGCCAGACAGAAGCGGAGCAGATGGGTGATGGAGAGGACAGGTGAAAGGCTTTCATGGGAAAAAGGGAGGAAATGCTGAGGAAAAAAAAAAAAGGAAAGTGTGCTTAAAGAATACTGAATTTGTTTATTTGTTTCCCCCACATTCCAAAAAGAATTTGCAAGGGCCAAGAGTTGTATGTTAACGGGCGTCGATGTGTAATTGGAAGGAGCACGTGGGAAGGTGGGTACAAGAGAGGTTGCAGAAGAACATCAGGTCAGCCTTCTGTATGTGGAGGAGTGTGAGATGGCATTTCAAGGTTATCAGGGGGGCTCTGCTACCAGCCATGACCTGGAGAGGGGCTCCCGGCCCCCAAATTGACCATGGGCTGGAATTAGAGCTCCCTAGCCCCACTTGCCCTAAATGGGGAATTTTGCCTTGTTCCAGAGCAAGCCTTGGGACTTAATTTTGGGGGGTGGGGGGTTAAGATGCTTTTTTAGTGATTGCCTTGACATTTTGCTTTTTACTTTGAAGAGGATCTGACTCTTTGGGAGAAAGGAGGGAGTAGGAGATCATTATTATTATTATAGCTAGCATTTATTGAGCATTCACTATGGGCCAGACACTGTCTAGAGTGCTTTGAAGGTACCAATTCACTTCCTCGTCGTAGCAACCCACATGAAGTTATGCGCTTTTAATCTATTTTATAGATCATGAAACAGACACAGAGAGGCTTAGCAATTTGCCTGAGGGCACACAGCTAGTGAGCAGCACAGCTGGAATGCAAATCCAGGTGGTTTGGCTCCAGAAGCCAAAAGAGGTGGCAGAAAAGAGGACAGAGTCTGGCTCAGCCCCATCTTGGCTCTTTCTCATGCGAAAGGAGCAGAACCCTCCTAAGACTAGTCCCGAAATCAAATTCAAATCCTGGATTTGGGGTCTGCATTGAGCTGGGCCCTCAGAGAGAGTTAACTGCCTTAACCAAACAGGCCAAGCGGCGTCTCTTTCTGCCAGAGCACCAGGTAGAATTTCTAGGCAAAGGCGGAGCCATTGCCGTGTCTGACAACTCTCAGAATGTGTGCAGGGTACTTCGCCTCTGCTGCAGTGAGTGGGCGGGGGCCTGGGGGCCGGAAACAAGCGGTCCAGCCAAGATAGAGAATTCCAAGAGGCTCAGCACTGTCAGGGGGTTCGTTTGGTCATTCCACAAAAATGTTTACTGAGCACCTACTGAATGCCCCCGTCGCCTCCTTTTTCTTGGTGCGTTACTGTATGCAGACACCCGTTACCAGGTTCCTCGCAATTCCAAGCCTTCCTTGCCTGGTAGCTCGCAGCCCAGACCGGAGGGCCCCCACTGACACATGGACTGTGTTCAATAACGCTTGGAAGCACAAGTGAGCTCTGTATTACCACCCTTTCGGCAGGGGCGGCTGGAGCGCCTGGGAGCCCCTAGTTCTAGCCCTACAGAGCCACGGGGACCGACCCAAAGCGCCAGCCATCAGCTTTGTTCCTCAAGCCTCTGGAGAAAACCTTTGATTTCATGGGGATGATTATTTTTATTCTTGCCCACTCAAGGATGAAGCCCAAGAAACAAGAGGTTGCCCTTTTCAGAGGTATCACAATGGGTCACCTCCAGCCAAACCCACTGTTTTTTGTTTTTTGTTATTTCTGGGTTTGGTTGAGCCTCTCTTGGAAACCATTACTATACAACTTACTTAAAAGAAAGAGTGGAAGGATTGGGCATAAGAGACTCAGACAGAGGCGGGGGAGGTGGGGGGCTTGGGACAGGGAGGCTGGGAGTACTGTGTTGTCAGAGAAAGTGCAGGACAGGACACATTAAAGTCACAATCTGATCTGAATCAATTCCATTTTGTAGTGACATTTTTTTTTCAATCTTTTGCAAAGTCTGACTATTCCAAGTTTGACTTTTGGCCAAGCCTGGAGAATTGGAACTTTGGATGAAGGTTTCAGAAAAAGACACAACACACACACACACACACACACACACACACACACACACACACACAGAAAGGGGGAGGAAGAGAATGGGGAGGGAGACTTTTATCCTAAAGTCATTGTAAATCCAAAGCAGGGTTTTATCCTCCACAGTTAAATGAGAAGGAAAAAAAAAATCAAGAATACCAACATTTGAGGTACAAAGACTGTCATGGGCCAGTGGAAGTTTGCAAAATTATATGTAAATGACCAAAGTTTTTACTGTGGTGGCCCTGTGCATTCCCAAAGCTAATCCCAAAGAGAAAATCTACTTAGTAAAAGAAAGTTTTGTCTAATTTGGTTAACAGTTGAGAAGTGACAAAAATGCTGAATATATTAATAATTTATATTTCCAGGGTAACACTATATCTTTAATGCTTCACTGCCAAAGGGAATTCAGATTGGCTTAATGCTCAGAGAAAAAAAGCCTGAAAGGCCGTCTTCATATTCTGTATCCAGCGCTGATGAAAATGGGTGTAAGACATGTGTTCCGATAATAGGCACCGTGCATTCTCTCATTTCTGCATAATTTGTTTTTATCCCATACTGTGCAATGTATATTTGTTATCCGGAAGGCTTCCCGGCCTGACGCTTGCTTTCATGTTCTAACTATATCAGTTCATGAGGCAGGAGGTATTTGTTGGGGTCTCACATCTTAGATAAGTACTGTAGTGACATGTAGTGTAAGGGCTAGAACTCCTTACTTGCAAGACCTTTTCTAAGGTTTACAGAATCCCCCTGCCCCTTGCATGCACGTTTAAGGTTCACTTAATGGGCAACGCAACGAACTGGGTTTTATCTTTGTTTTCTGCGCCGTCTCTGTACAATCAAGTGTGATGGTTTACAAATTCCAGGTCACCTCATTCCACGACCTCAGTCAACAGCCTAGGTCAGAGCTCCCTGAAACCCTGTCCGTAGAAACGGAGTAAGTTAATTTATTGTTCTCCAGCTGATCTGGGAGAAGACAAATCATTGTAGTTCAGTTAAATGGCCTCTGGAAACAGGAAAACCTGTTTTCGAATTATTTATGTAAAGGGCGTCAAAGCTAGGGAACAAAAAAGGAAATAGGGGAACAAAAGAAAAAAAATCAACGAAGGGGTAAAATGTAAAGCCCCACAAACACAACTTTAGCCAGTTGGATCCCTTGTTCATTTTACCTGTTTCCATAAAACAACAGAAGTCTCAGTTTGCCGTTTGGGTCTTAGAAAAACAAAATTTTTGTTTGCTGCTTTAAATGTATCGCTGTGTTGTGGGTAAGGCGCAGATCCAACTGGCATTGAGAACCCCAATCTCCTAAAGATCACTAACCAAGTCTCCCCTGAACCCTGAAAACTTGCCTCGCTACGTTCTGGGTTGAGCAGAAGGTTAAAATCCACCTTCCCTCCCCCGGGGAGAGGGAAGCCTTTTCTCACCGGGCCTGAGAGCCTGGGCGGAGAGTCCTGCGCCTCGACCCCTCGCCGGTGGAGGGCGGAGCCGCAGAGGGAACGCTCCCCTGGGGAGCGCGTCTCCGGACCCGCAGGTCGCCGGCTCCTCACGCGGCCGCCTAGCGTCTCCGAAGCTGAGCCGATCTGTGCGCAAAAGGCAAGGCCAGCCTCCCCGAGCCCTCCCGCGCGCGGAGAAGTTGTCATCCTAAAATAACAGACTTCGTCGGACGTTGTTTCTGAGCCAGAACTCAGAAGTTACTCCTCGCTCCGTGTCTTACGGAGACGTGTGAAGGCTGTAAACCCAGTCACGCGTCCCGCGGGCCCGAGCTGCGCGGCTCTCGGGTCCCGCCGGCGCGTGGTGCGCGCGCGACCCCCGGCCTCGTCTCGGGGTAGGAAGGGCGCCCAGGTCCGAGCTGGCGACAGTCCGCCGGGGCCGGCTTGGGGCGGGTCCTTGATTTGCATTTTCTGAGAGCCGGGGCCCCAGTTTTTCGCGTGCGCCCTTCCCTTGAGGCAAATGCCCAAGACGCGCTCCAGTCGGGTGAGGGGAGGGAGCCCCGAATTCCCGCCTTGAAGCGACGCTCCGTTTAGGCTTCCCCCCCTCCCCCTCGGGCCTCGCAGCGCCTCCTGCCCCCAAGTACTGATGACCGTCACCTGGGCCCTCTCAGGCGCTCGCCCTCGGGCACCTCCGAGGGTGGTTGTGGAGGAGCAGAAGGTAACAAAGAAATCCATCTATTGGGTCTTTATCAGAAAACGTTTATTGCCAGGGGGAGATCCTTCAGGAGACTAATTTGCTCTTGACCTTCCCCCACCCAGCTTTTTTGTTGGCACACTATTTACATCTGTACAACGTACGGTGTTTTTCCTACGTCGCGCCGGGCGCGCGCGGAGAACCCTGGCGGGCGAGGCGGCGTCAGAGCACCGGGGGGTGCTGGGGCGGGTGCAGGTTGAGGGCGTTGGGGTGGGCGTGGCCGATCAGGTTGAGGTAGTGCCGGTCCAGCCCCTGCACGGGCGTCAGGAAGGGGCTGTGCTGCTGCGCGGGGCTCGGGAGCGCCACCGGCGCGCCGGGCAGGTAGGGCAGCGCCGGGCTGCGGGCCGCGCCGTGCGGCCAGGGAAAGGGCCCGGGGGCGGCGCCCTGCGGGAAAACGGAGGCCTCCCCGGGGCTGTGGCCCGTGAGCTCGGCCCCCGCTGGGTGCAGCTGATAGGAGAAATCCGGCTCCGGGAGCGAACCCAGCGGCTGGAAGGCGGGCTCGGCGCCCAAGCGGGCCTTGGACTGCAGGAAGGCGAGGATGCGCGCGTACTTGGTGTCCTTGGTCTCCATCCTTTCCACGGTGGTGAGATAATGCACCAGGTTCTTCATGCACTCGTGGTAGCCGTAGTGGAAGTAGTTGGCGAACTCTGCTAGCAGTTCTGCTGGAGCGGCGAGCAAACCCGCAGGAAGGAAAAAAAAAAACCATGAGCAGCCCCTTCCCCACCGGGAGCCCGAGGCACCCTCCTGTCACGTTTTCTGGCCCGAGATCCCATTTGAGGCCTGTCCTCCCTTACCCCCAGTCTGGAGACCGGAACAGCGAAAGCAAAAGAACTCCTTTTCCTTAAGAGCCTGACCCCACCCTTCCCCACCTGAGAGGAGGGGACGGAACGAGCATCCCCAGAAACCTGTCCTCCTGTCCCCTTGCTTACGTAGAACCTCAGCCCGCCCCCAACCCCCTCGGGCCGCATCCAGAGTGGAGACCTCTCACGAGGACCCTTTGACCCCCACTCCCGGCCCCAAGTGCCAGTGTGGCGAACGCTCCCCGCCCAGGTTCCCCTTTGTCCAACCCGCGCCCACCTTTTTCCCTTCCCCGGGGAAAATCAGCGGAGTGCAGGGCCCTCAGGTACTGAACGGTCATCTCGAGGATCTCCGCCTTCTCCAGCTTACCGGAACTCTGCAAAAGGAGGAAGAGCTCCTCGCAGCGACCCAGCGGGCGCAAGCCAACGCGGGCAGGCTGGGGTGCACGGCTTTATCCCGGGCAGCGAGCAGGCGCTGGGGCGGATCCGCGCGAGGGCCGCCTGGGGCTCGCCCAGCGCTCGACCCCCGGGGAGAAGAGGCCGCTGCAAAGGCCTCTCCGTCTCCAGACTCCCTGCATCCCTGCCGAGCGTGGCAGCGGAGGATCCCCAGCGCCTGGCTCTGTTAGCTCGGCCTCTGACGTTACCTGCTTCGCCAGGGCCATGGGTACCGTCTTGCCCAGCTCGTTCAAGCAGCGGTTTATCCGGTCCCTCCTCCGCTTTTCTATCACTTTGTGGGAAACAGGGGTTCTCTGCGAACAGAGGTTTGTACACTTAGGATAGTGTTGCCCAGGGAGTCGTCAAAGGCATGGCTGCAGCTGCGTGTCAACCGTCTTCCCAGCCCCCAACGCGGCCCAGGGACTCCCCCCGGAGGGGGGGTCAGAGGAGCCCTGCCCTCTCACGCCCGCACCAGTGCGCTCCTTTTCCGGCCGCCCGCCCGCCCGGCTTGGGCCACGCCGTCCAGCTGAGCGCCAGGGCACTGGGGAGGTGGCCACCGGCCTCCCGGGTTGAGGAAGCTCCTCTCTCTGTCCTCGTTCCCCGCCCAAACCACTCAAGCTTCCTCCTCACGAGAGTCCCGTGTGCCACGTCCCTGCCGTCGGTCCAGCCAGGTGGCGGCTCCAGGAGTCAGACGCCCCCACCAGTGGGGCGCAAGGGCTGTCTGGGCTCAGCCGACTCACTTTGCGTTCCTTAAGCTTGTCTGACATCCTGGTCAGGACGCGCCCTCGGGAGAGGCGGTGGCGCGAGTCACCCGTCCACTTTCCGCCTCGTGTGCCTCCTCGAGTGTCCCAGGTAGACTGCAGCCTCCCAACTCCGAGGGGCTGCCTTATAAAGCGGTCATCTAGGGCTCCAAGTGCATTCACGAGTTGAATTATTCCATAGGATTAGGGGAGCTGCGTTTGGGGGGATGTATGCATTCAAGATCAGTTTTAAAGAAGTTAAGAAAAAAAAAATTAGCAGCCGAGGGGGGCGAGCTGGGGGCAGATCAGCTTTGTTAATCCACGTGGCCCTTCAAAGGACACGTGATCGGCTGGGGAATAACATTTGCATGGCAACAGCCCCGGCGGGAAAAGGAGGCGGTAAACTGGGGCCGGCGGGCGAGCGAGCGCCTGCAGCAGGCGCAGAGCGCAGGGGCGCAGCGGCCGCGGGCACCGGGGGGCGAGGACCCTCACAAAAACAGTGTCGCCTCCTTTAGTCCCACCGCTGAGTCTCACACGATTGCCTGTTTACAAATCCCAGCAAGCCCGCAGTCCCAGCGCCGAGTGCGTTTTAAAGCCTGTCCAGAGTCATTAAAGTAATTAAGTAAGCCTTTAATAGGCTGTTCCGCCGGGTTCAAGGGAGAGCTCTTGGAGACGGAGGCGCCCCGTTTGTTCCCAGGCTTTTCTCACACGACTTGGTGACACGTCCATCTCCCCCCTTTTTGTTTACACCGCTTTATTTGTCCGGACATCCCGGCAGGTGTGGGGCTGCGGCTGGCACACGAGGCTCCCGCCTCGCCTCGCCCCTCCCGCCGGTCTCTGGCACGCGACGCTCCCCCCCCGACTCCCTGACCACGTCGCTTGCTTTCTTTTCTCCCCCCCCCTCCGGCTCTCTCTTTGCGGGGGGAAAGAGGCTCAATTTGTAGCCTATTATCCTATACGAAAATGTCCATTGAAATGTATGAATAGTTTCATTGGGCTAAATTTTAATAATGCCAGAGGGTGGGGGGAGGAGAGACAGGCAGGCGTGTGTGTGTGCGTGTGTGTGTGTGTGTGTGTGTGAGGGGGGGTGGTGGGAGGATTGGGGGGCAACACGGAGAAGAGTGGGCCGAGAAGAAAAGGGGAAATGCAGCTGGCCCAGGCGAGCATTATGCGACGTCACCTGCGAGAGGGGGCGCCTACAGACCCCTATTCATTTGCCTAATTTTGGTCAATTTAACAAACTTCAGGAGAAATTATTGTGGCTTTGTCAGGGAGGGTGAAGCCTTCTGATCGAATTAACAGCATGTTTTGATCCGGTAAATGTCATTAGAAAGGGAGAAACAATCGCGCTTAGAGGGCTCTGAGTAATGCGCCCAAGTGGAGACGCCAAAGCGCACGGCTCACAAAGGGAGCAAGTAGCTGCCACAGGGAACTTTTGTACCCGCCCATCGCCCAAGTTTTGACACAAAAAGGCATTATTTCATACTTGAATACGTTTAATCCAACGATTGTCTATTTTCTGCAAACATATTTTCACAGCATTGTTAACTTTTTATGTCCCCCTTTCGCGGGCGCCTTTTCTTAACGTTTGGGGGCGGGAGAGCGCAGACACTTTGGGCATCAATATTTGTCACTGAAAAGGGCTCCGTGAAGTTAGGGAAGTTGATCTCTTTTTTATGGTTTTAGAGAGCGAATATATCGGGGGGAGGAGGAGGGAGGGAAGGCACCAACAGAAACGAGGGAGGAAATTTGCTGGACGGGCCCGAGGGGAAGGAGGGGGGCGGCGGCGGCTGGGAACTCCCACCGCCTCCCGCGCCTCTGCGGGCAGCCTGGCCGGCGGCCGGGGGCCTCCTCCCCCACCCACCGGGCTCGCTCGCAGTTGGCTGCCTCGGACCCGCACTCTGGGGTCTCCAGGCGTGCGGGGTATGGGTGGCGTGTGAGCTTTCTCGCAGATGGAAACAATAAAAATGGCTTTTGTTTTACGACCTGCTCTAGGGCCACCGAGCTCTCACCTTTTTCTGATCTGTTCCATCTGAGAATAACCAAGCCCTCTCCTTAGATATCCTTCCCTCCTTTTCTGCTCCGCACCTCGCCTAAATTCTCTCCGCTCTGCTGGACCGTGGCAGGGCCCGAGCTCTCCCTGGGGTGTCGTTGGTCCTCGGCAGAGGTGGCTAAGGGGAGCCCCGCTCGCCGGTGGGACCTGGGGAGCTCCTAGGGCGCAGAGGCGGGCCGGGGGTGCTGGGCCTTGGGGAAGAGAGCGGCCCACCCGCCGCGGCCTGGGAGCTGTGGGGCCCGGTCGGCACCACGCACCCCTGGGGTCTCCCTCTCCGTCTCGCTCTCAGTCTCCTTGGGACGGTTCTTTTCTGCTTCACGCCAGATTGGACACGACCCGCACCCTCCCGCGCAGGTTCCTCTGCCAGCCGCCGGTGCCCTCTCAGGGGTTGTCGATTTCAGTATATTCACTCGCACACAAAGGGATTAAACACGAACCCTTATCATCCAAATTAACTAACGTGAATGGGTAAAAGGGAACGCGCACACTTCTCACACCACCCACCCCCCCTTTTAAGCCAGCGGACTAGGCGTTGATCCTCTTACTGCTGGTGTTAACCGCCAGCTGCAGGCACCTTCCACGGGCCAAATTTCATTCTGTGCGAACTGTTTAATTTCTCGTGGTTGCTCGCGGAGCTGGGCCCCAGGGCGGTAAGTACCCGCGTGTGGCTTGGGGATTGGAGGGGGGGAGGCAAGTGAAGGTGGGTAGGTAGGTGGGTGGAGGTGGGGGGCAGGCGCGCGCATCCCTCACCAAGTCCCCCAGGGCTGCAGCCCTTTCTGGGAGACCGGAAACGCCGCTCCAGGTTCAAGGTGAGGCTACGACTGTTTTCTCTCCGGGCCTGAAGGCTCCAATGGCACTGCCAGAAAGTGGGGCGCCAGGACCCTCAAGGCCATCGTTCCTCAACCTCCTCTCCAGGATGGCCATGGTGTTCCCTGATCTTGACCGAGTTTCCACTAAGCAGGGTCGTGAGGCCCTGTGGGTGCCAGAGCCTACAGTCCCTCACATCCCAGCACCACCCCCACCAGCTGGGCCAGACATTGGGCTGGGCCTCAGCGTCCTCTTCTGTGAAATGGACGTAATCAACGTATCTACTAGGTCACAGTGTGGCCACTGAAATAAGTAAATATAGGCGAGGCATCTCCAATCAGGCTGAAGTGCTGGATTAATGGCTTCATTTGGCCCAGAAGTCTCTTCTGCAGTGACTCTCGGGTAGTAAGTAGTGTTTTGTGGGGTTGGTGCTGTTGTGTGATATTTTAATTTGTTTCATATTTTTTCTCATCTCTGAGAAAGCCTCACTTTCCTGAAAAGGCCACAGAACTTTCTCCTGCAGTATGTTCACTTGACCTGAACTGGGCAAATGATTGGGGCATTGGATGACCACCACCCCCCCCCCCCGCAGGTGACATCACCTGGTGCCTGCTGGCCACCTGGGTCCTCTCTGTGCTTGGGAGACGGAAAAAGGCTCTAAGTGCAGACACGTCTTAACATCGTAGTCGCTTTGAGTGATTCAGACTTGAGCATTGAAGCAAAACGAGGAAGACTACTTAGGAATTAGACAATGCTAATTAAATGTTAGTCTGCACATAGACTCCTGGTGTCTAAAGGCCATTGTTGGAGAATACCCCAATCACAGGCAGAATGCTTATTACTGTTGCTAATATTGTTATTTTTACTATTACTTTTTTTTTTTTTTTTTTTGCTTCATAGAGCTGACCTGTAGCTTCTAAACACCAAAAGATGGATTCTTTTGTGTTTCTTTTGAATTCTCGAAGTCAGGGATTTATGGATTTGGGAATGGGGAAGGGGAAATGAATAGAAAGGGGGGAAAATGTAGTGGGTATTTGGTAATTTCAGCCAAATTGCTCTAAGACAAAGTGTTCTGGGTGATTCCGAATCTCTCCCTCCAATGGTCCCCTCCAGTACAGGTTTTTCCAGTTGCATTAATGGGACTGGGGATTAATCAAGTGAGAAAATGTGGGTCTCGTCAGAGAGTAGAGAAAACACAGCTATGGCTGACCCACCTGTGCTTCTCAGGTATCCGTAAACAAGGCATGAAGGGAACCGAATTCCTAGGCTGTATTTTTGAAGTGAGTAGCGTCACAGGACCTGGGATGGCAGGATGCTTCCTCTGAAAGGAGCCTGAAAGACCATTACATCCAACACACCATTTTACCATGGGAGGATCTGAGCAGCACGGAGGGGACCTGGCAATGCCCAGCTGTGCACAGCAAGCTGTCACAGGGTGTCTCACTGTTGGTGGATTTGCCGTGTGACCTCCATGGCCAACTCTTTCTGTTTACTCTCTTATTGTGAAGGAGAGTCCCGTCGGGGACACTGATTTCGCATGGTGGAGAGCATTTTGCAGAACATCCTGCTGCCTCTGGCGGGTGTGATTGCCATCAGAGGCATCAGCTGTGTCCTTGAGCCTCCCTCCAGTGCTGCCACTTCCCACAGGTCCTGTGATAACAGCATGTTGTGAGCACTGACAGGAGTCAGAAGCTGGGGATATCAAGTAGACAGGGCCATGGGCTTGTACTCTAAGAAAGAAGAAAATATTGTGTTGATGGCC